GTATAGTTTTACCAACGCTCTTATATGGGTGTGAAGCATGGGTGATGAATGTTGCAGCGAGGAGAAGGCTGGAGGCAGTGGAGATGTCATGTCTGAGAGCAATGTGTGGTGTGAATATAATGCAGAGAATTCGTAGTTTGGAAGTTAGGAGGAGGTGCGGGATTACCAAAACTGTTGTCCAGAGGCTGAGGAAGGGTTCTTGAGGTGGTTCAGACATGTGGAGAGAAATGGAGCGAAACAGAATAACTCAAGAGTGTATCAGTCTGTAGTGGAAGGAAGGCGGGGTAGGGGTCGGCCTAGGAAAGGTTTGGAGGGAGGGGGTAAAGGAGGTTTTTGTGTACGAGGGGCTTGGACTTCCAGCAGGCATGCGTGAGCGTGTTTGGTAGGAGTGAATGGAGACAAATGGTTTTTAATACTTGACGTGCTGTTGGAGTGTGAGCAAAGTAACATTTATGAAGGGGTTCAGGGAAACCGGCAGGCCGGACTTGAGTCCTGGAGATGGGAAGTACAGTGCCTGCACTCTGAAGGAGGGGTGTTAATGTTGCAGTTTAAAAACTGTAGTGTAAAGCACCCTTCTGGCAAGACAGTGATGGAGTGAATGATGGTGAAAGTTTTTCTTTTTCGGGCCACCCTGCCTTGGTGGGAATCGGCCAGTGTGATAATAAAAATAAAATAAAAATATATAATTATTACCTTTTCATATAATTTTATATTGCTTGTATTTGCGATAATAGCTAAATCTTATATGTATTGCTTTATATTGTTATTTGACTTAGCTTCCTTTGGATAGGTAGGATGTAACATATTATGTGCTCAGTTCAAGTCTTGATTGTCTAACTACTGTAATTATCGCTCTTTGCTTGTTTCCCTGCCGGCTTCTTGCTGGGCAGCGACCCACGGAGCTATCACGTGATCGAGGGGGGGGTGTCCTCACCTCGCCTGAAGTATTCAGCCTGGTCTAGACTCTTGGTGGTTGGACAGATTGTCTGTCTCATTATTCTTGTTAGTTCTGAAGAACTCTGTTCGCAGAACATTGTATAGACTTAGTGATTTTTCACATTGTACAGTGGACCCCCGCATACCGATTTTAATCCGTGCAAGAGGGGTCATTGTTATGCGAAATAATCGGTATGCGAATGAATTTTCCCCATAAGAAATAATGGAAATCAAATTAATCCGTGCAAGACACCCAAAAGTATGAAAAAAAAAAAATTTTACCACATGAAATGTTAATTTTAATACACACAAACTGAAAAAGGCATGCACACTTACATGACACTTACTTTTATTGAAGATCTGGTGATGATGATGGATGGGAGGAGGGGAGAGAGAGTGTTAGTGTTTAGAAGGGAATCCCCTTCCATTAAGACTTGAGGTGTCGAGTCCTTTTCTGGGTTACTTCCCTTCTTCTTTTAATGCCACTAGGACCAGCTTCAGAGTCACTGGACTTCTTTCGCACAACATATCTGTCCATAGTGGCCTGTACCTCTCGTTCCTTTATGACTTCCCTAAAGTGTTCACAACATTGTCAGTGTACAGGTTGCCAACACGGCTTGCAATAGCTGTGTGAGGGGATTTCATCAAAAAAGGTTTGCACTTCAAGCCACTTTGCACACATTTCCTTAATCTTTGTAGTAGGCAACTTCTTCAATTTCTCTCTCTCCCCTCCTCTGAACCAGTTTTCCTCAGGTCTGGCCTCTTGCTGTTGAAGTTGATCTATCAGCTCATCAGTGGTTATTCTTCATTGTCCTCCCTCCACCAACTCTTCCACATCCTCCCCACTAACCTCCAACCCCAAGGACTTTCCAATGCCACAATGGATTCCTCAACTGGCATAATCCTCTCAGGTTAGCCTCAAACCCTTCAAAATCCCTTTTGTCTACACATTCTGGCCACAGTTTCTTCCAAGCAGAGTTCAAGGTCTTCTTAGTCACTCCCTCCCAAGCCTTACCTATAAGGTTTACACAATTGAGGATATTAAAGTGCTCTCTCCAAAACTCTCTTAGAGTCAGTTGAGTTTCTGAGGTCACTACAAAGCACCTTTCAAACAGAGCTTTTGTGTACAGTTTTTTAAAGTTTGCAATAACCTGCTGGTCCATGGCTGCAGAGAGGAGTGGTATTAGGAGGCAAAAACTTGATGTTAATGAATTTCATGTCCCCATAAAGTCGCTCTGGCCACGTCTGTAGGATGACCAGGGCATTGTCTAACACCAGGAGGCACTTAAGTTCTAATTTCTTTTCAGTTAGGTAATCTTTCACATTGGGGGCAAATGCATGGTGTAACCAGTCATAGAAAAAGTCCCTAGTGACCCATGCCTTACTGTTTGCCCTCCACAGCACACACAAATTCTCCTTGAGGACATTCTTTTGCCTGAACACTCTGGGAGTTTCAGAGTGATACACTAATAAAGGCTTAAACTTTGCAATCACCAGTAGCATTGGAACACATCAACAAAGTAAGCCTGTCTTTCATAGGCTTATGTCGTGGGAGTGCCTTTTCCTCCTGAGTAATGTAGGTCCTGCTTGGCATTTTCTTCCAAAACAGGCCTGTTTTATCACAATTAAACACTTGTTCAGGTTTCAGTCCTTCAGTCTCTATGTACTCCTTGAATTCATGCACATATTTTTCAGCCGCTTTGTGGTCCGAACTGGCAGCCTCACAGCTTATCACACTATGTATGCCACTACGCTTCTTAAATCTCTCAAAACCAACCTTTGCTGGCCTTAAATTCACTCACATCAGCACTAGTTGCAGGCATTTTTTTAATTAAATCCTCATGCAACTTCCTAGCCTTTTCGCTTATGATCGCTTGAGAGACGCTATCTCCTGCTAGCTGTTTTTCATTTATCCACACCATAAGAGTCCTCAACATCTTCCATCACTTGCGATCTTTGTTTCGAAAACACAGTTAAACCTTTGGCAAGAACAGCTTCCTTGATTGCCTTTCTGGTGCCCACAATAGTAGCGATGGTTGATTGGGGTTTCTTGTACAACCTGACCAGGTCGGCGATACGCACTCCACTTTCATACTTATCAATGATCTCTTTCTTCATCTCTATTGGAATTCTCACCCTTATTGCTGTAGGGTTGGCACTAGAAGCTTTCTTGGGGCCCATGGTCACTTATTTTCCAGAAAAAGCACCGAAAACACTGTAATAATACGAAATATTCCGATTGTATGCTTGGATGTTACCGCGGAGGCTGGCTGGTAAACAATGCCACCGGCGGCACATGTGAGGCTGGCTGAGGGCGCACATTGGACGCGTCTCGGACGAAAATCAGTGAGCGGGTTTTTAAGCGGTATGCGAGGCAAAATTTTTGCGATTAAAGCAAGCGGTATGCGGATTAATCGTTATGTGATGCCATCGGTATGCGGGGGTCCACTGTACTGAGGTTGTGTGTTGCATAGACACTCTTAACAACTCAGGTCCTGAGCTGTAGCTTCTGACCTAACTTGTACTGGTATTTGTGTATTATCACAGCCGGGGATTTTCTTATGCTGAACTTAGATTCAGTAGTATGGGAGTTTTGTGACTCTTGTGGAGGATCTGCTGATGGTCCCTACTTAGTGTCGTTATATTATCTCCTTGTTCCTGATTCTGTGTCGCAGTTGCTTGTTATATTGCTATTGGGCTTAGCATTCTTTTTGTTGTTCAAGCAGACTGTTCTGATTGCCAGTTGGTCAAGAAGTTAGTTTATTTGAGGACTTTGTCAGTCACTTGTTTAAGTCTAGTCGAGTCGTGAAACATAGCGAACTACTTAGAGCACTTACATACACACTTGTACATATTTGTAATATCTTATTAAATGTTAATGTACCAGACGGTACTTAAGAATTATAAATGTGATGTGTGCTTTCAGCACAATAATATTGTACACGAGAGAAGTTATATTATTTTAATTACTGTGATTAATTTAATTTGATATATGCCTAGACAACTTAATGACTAATAAATTTATTAAATTTTATTTTCTCTAGTTAGTAGCCTACCAGTTGTAATCCTGGAGCACTATTGAATCATACTGAATTCTAATGGATAATTGGACAAGGATACTGACTAATTGTTACGAAAACCCAGTAACAGGCTGGATGCTAGAAGGGCAGTCCTTTCTAGTATTCACTGGAGATCTCTAAGCTTTTAGAATCGCGTTTTTTGTAACACTACAGTACACTCACACCTCACCAACCACCCCATCCTCTCACATTCGCCCACCCACCCCACCCTCTTACATACCCACCCCACCTTCTTACATACCCACCCAGCCCTCGCATTCACCCACCTACTCACCTTTCCACCTTCTTGCATACTCACACCACCCTCTCCCATACCCACCCACCCACCCATGCTCTCACAGATATACTCACCTTGCCAACCTTATCAAACTCACCCTCTCTTATGCACCCACCTACTTACCCTCACATCTGTCTTTCATACCAACTTCCTCTTCCATCCACCCTTATATGTACCTATCCATACACTCTCATACCCTCATACTCACCCTCTCACACCCACCCTCTGTCACCCCCACACACATTCACACAGTTTCTCATAACCTCACACCCCTGATACTTTTAGCACCCAGTACCCAAGCACCCACTAACACTTTCTGAAACATTTTATGTCAAGTCTGCCGCATGCTACACACACACACACACACATACACACACACACACACACATACACACACACACTTATTGCAATGTTACACAGTTCTATAAAATTACTATACAGTACTGTACTATAGTACTTAGTGTCTGGTTTTCTTCTGTATTAGTGGACCAAAGTCCACTAGTTCAGAAGACAGCCAAACAATCTAGAAAAATTAATTTTACAGTTTGGATAGTTGGCAGTATTCCACATCCCCTTTCCCTTGATGTCTGTTAATGAAAGGTTTCACTCTTTTCAAAACTAATTTTGATTTTGAAAGTCACTTATATTGTAAAATAGAAAGCACTGGTAATGTTTTGAGAATGCAACACTCTTAATTATTGCTTTAGCTGGAGAGGATGGAGTTGGAGGTGCGAGACCTGGAGCCAGCACAGAGAGAGAAGCTGGGAGGACGAATCAAGAGTTATCAAGTTGAGCTGAAGCGTTTGGAAGGCGAATACTCGCGTGTCAAGTTATCTGCCACTACTAATGAAGGTGAATAATTTAATCCTTAATCCCTGTATTATTGTGTAATGTGCACATTCGAATGCCCTGAATCTAAATTTCCACAACCTTTAAAACAGAAAAAAATAAAAAATTCTTTAACATAGTTACCCAAACTTGTCACTCTTGTACTGGGAAAATATCTGTACGCTATGACCACGCTCTGAAGTGTGTTATAGGCTCACAAGAACCAGCAATAGTGTTTCTTCATACACCTTTCTTATATGGGAATTGATGTGCACAGGACAGTACTGTTGTATTTAATTAAATCTGGAAATTCAGATCATTCAGTGGTACGAGAAGGCCTTAACTTCAGCAAGTCTGGATTTATGGTAATTTGTTGTTATAATTATCCTTTTTAGATGGTTAGTATTTATATATTGGCTGTACTCATTATAGTAGTCATTTTAGAACTTATTACAGTATTCACACATCATTATGTACATATTGCATGGAATCTGAAATAGTTGCCAAATGAGAGCACGTTAATGCATGTTACTATACCAATAACATTATCCTTGCCAGCATGTAATAAAAATGCAGAAAAAAGCACAGTACATCTTAAGAATCTTTGCAAATGGCAGGATTACTCCATAGAGGTAAATTTCATTGTCCTTTGATTACTGTGGGTAGGTACAGCACAAGTGAAGCTTTAACCTGTTAATTGTCCAAATGTAGATCTACATTCTCTTGCCCAGTGCTCCGAATATTTTTATTTTTTTAATGAAGAGGGTATTTTTCTACATGTAATAGGATAAAAAAAAATTAGGGTCAGTACTTGCTGAGATATAAGACTGCAAAGTTGGCGCTGGATGCTCACCTGATGGCAACATGGAATGCTGCTGCTTGCAGAAATGCTGCCAATTTACCTTTTTTTCTCATTTTTTTAATTAATTTTTATGTTCTGATAATTATAATTTATAGTAGTTCTTGTGATTTCATAGCCAGTCTTTGTTCTGACATTATTATTCGGTTCTGAAATAGTACTCAAATACTCACAAACAGGTGAACATTTTCACCTGCCTTGGTCACATACTATTGTGTAGAAATACATATATACAAAGTATTTATAGGTCCCAGCAATGTTTTAGACATGCTGGAATGTATATGAAACTCCTTGAAGCATGGGATTAGACGAGTGTCACTCCTCTGCTGACAGTGCAGCAGTGGAGTGACACTTGATGATTGTGCACTGCCTTGGTTTTATTTGTTTTCACTGTTACACATAAACATGTCTGTCTATCCATCTAGCTCTGTCTCTGCTTATCATTCTTTCTGTCCATCTTTCTGTCTGCTTGTTTCTCTGTCCTAGAGAGCTACTCATGAAGTGTCCTTGGTCCTCTGCTCTCCTCTTGTACATCAGTGATCTTCCTAATGTATCACAACAACTTAAACCTATTCTCTTTGCTGATGACACGACTTATATCATCTCCCACCCTAATCTTGCCTCACTCAACACTATTGTTAACCCTTTCAGGGTCCGTGCCATAGATCTACGCCATGAGCTCAGCTCGCTCTGATAAGCTGTGAGCAGTAAATTTGGGCCTAGATATGAGAGAATACATCTATGTGGTATGTGTGCACCACATAAAACAAATCCTGCAGCACACAGTGCATAATGAGAGAAAAAACTGAGACTGTAATTTTCGATTAAAACGGCAACTTTGCAGTATTTTTTCATATGTTTTTTATAGTTGTATTTGTGATTTCTTGGTCTCATTTGATAGAATGGAAGATATATTACAGAAATAGAGATGATTTTGATTGGTTTTAGTACTGAAAATGGCTTGAAACTGAACTCAAAGTAGCGGAAATGTTAAATTTTTGCCGATGTTCAAGAGTAAACAAATGACTTCACACGTCTAATACACACCAGCTGGTGGATCTAATATACGTTCACAAATGTGCTGATAATATTTATACAATTACAGTGGACCCCCGCATACCGATTTTAATCCGTGCAAGAGGGGTAATTGTTATGCGAAATAATCGGTATGTGAATGAATTTTCCCCATAAGAAATAATGGAAATAAAATTAATCCGTGCAAGACACCCAAAAGTATGAAAAAAAAAATTTTTACCACATGAAATGTTAATTTTAATACACACAAACTGAAAAAGGCATGCACACTTACATGACACTTACTTTTATTGAAGATCTGGTGATGATTGATGGGATGGGAGGAGGGGAGAGAGAGTGTTAGTGTTTAGAAGGGGAATCCCCTTCCCAAATTAAGACTTGAGGTGTCGAGTCCTTTTCTGGGGTTACTTCCCTTCTTCTTTTAATGCCACTAGGACCAGCTTCAGAGTCACTGGACTTCTTTCGCACAACATATCTGTCCATAGTGGCCTGTACCTCTCGTTCCTTTATGACTTCCCTAAAGTGTTTCACAACATTGTCAGTGTACAGGTTGCCAACACGGCTTGCAATAGCTGTGTGAGGGTGATTTTAAATCAAAAAAGGTTTGCACTTCAAGCCACTTTGCACACATTTCCTTAATCTTTGTAGTAGGCAACTTCTTCAATTTCTCTCTCCCCTCCTCTGAACCAGTTTCCTCAGGTCTGGCCTCTTGCTCTTGAAGTTGATCTATCAGCTCATCAGTGGTTAGTTCTTCATTGTCCTCCTCCACCAACTCTTCCACATCCTCCCCACTAACCTCCAACCCCAAGGACTTTCCCAATGCACAATGGATTCCAACTGGCATAATCCTCTCAGGGTTAGCCTCAAACCCTTCAAAATCCCTTTTGTCTACACATCTGGCCACAGTTTCTTCCAAGCAGAGTTCAAGGTCTTCTTAGTCACTCCCTCCCAAGCCTTACCTATAAGGTTTACACAATTGAGGATATTAAAGTGCTCTCTCCAAAACTCTCTTAGAGTCAGTTGAGTTTCTGAGGTCACTACAAAGCACCTTTCAAACAGAGCTTTTGTGTACAGTTTTTTAAAGTTTGCAATAACCTGCTGGTCCATGGGCTGCAGGAGAGGAGTGGTATTAGGAGGCAAAAACTTGATGTTAATGAATTTCATGTCCCCATAAAAGTCGCTCTGCCACGTCTGTAGGATGACCAGGGGCATTGTCTAACACCAGGAGGCACTTAAGTTCTAATTTCTTTTCAGTTAGGTAATCTTTGACATTGGGGGCAAATGCATGGTGTAACCAGTTATAGAAAAGTCCCTAGTGACCCCTGCCTTACTGTTTGCCCTCCACAGCACACACAAATTATCCTTGAGGACATTCTTTTGCCTGAACGCTCTGGGAGTTTCAGAGTGATACACTAATAAAGGCTTAACTTTGCAATCACCACTAGCATTGGAACACATCAACAAAGTAAAGCCTGTCTTTCATAGGCTTATGTCCTGGGAGTGCCTTTTCCTCCTGAGTAATGTAGGTCCTGCTTGGCATTTTCTTCCAAAACAGGCCTGTTTCATCACAATTAAACACTTGTTCAGGTTTCAGTCCTTCACTGTCTATGTACTCCTTGAATTCCTGCACATATTTTTCAGCCGCTTTGGGTCCGAACTGGCAGCCTCACATGCCTTATCACACTATGTATGCCACTACGCTTCTTAAATCTCTCAAAACCAACTTTGCTGGCCTTAAATTCACTCACATCAGCATAGTTGCAGGCATTTTTTTAATTTAAAACCTGATGCAACTTCCTAGCCTTTTCGCTTATGATCGCTTGAGAGATGCTATCTCCTGCTAGCTGTTTTTCATTTATCCACACCAATAAGAGTCTCTCAACATCTTCCATCACTTGCGATCTTTGCTTCGAAAACACAGTTAAACCTTTGGCAAGAACAGCTTCCTTGATTGCCTTTCTGGTGCCCACAATAGTAGCGATGGTTGATTGGGGTTTCTTGTACAACCTGACCAGGTCGGCGATACGCACTCCACTTTCATACTTATCAATGATCTCTTTCTTCATTTCTATTGGAATTCTCACCCTTATTGGTGTACGGTTGGCACTAGAAGCTTTCTTGGGGCCCATGGTCACTTATTTTCCAGAAACAGCACCGAAAACACTGTAATAATACGAAATATTCCGATTGTATGCTTGGATGTTACCGCGGAGGCTGGCTGGTAAACAATGGCACGGGCTGCACATGTGAGGCTGGCTGAGGGCGCACATTGGACGCGTCTCGGACGAAAATCGGTGAGTGGGTTTTTAAGCGGTATGCGTGGCAATATTTTTGCGATTAAAGCAAGCGGTATGCGGATTAATCGCTATGTGGTGCCATCGGTATGCGGGGGTCCACTGTATTACAATATTGTATGACAGTAAATCTTCTAGTTTTTGGTTTGAATAAAAATTCATTATGTGAATTAAAAATCTAAATGGAATTCATTTGAAAAACCTGAACACATTACTAATGAACAGAGGAAATGTTAGTTTAGTGCCAGGAATGCCTGCATTGAAATTGGAATATTTTGAACTTTGCACTAAATTGGCCAAATTACCAATTTCCAATCACTATTTTGTAGTTGAAACGGTTGAGTTGGCGATTTCTTGTGCTCAATCGATAGAATAGAAGTAATACTAGTGAAATAGCTAAGAATTTGGTCGACTGGAAAAAGGTAATTGGCCTAAAATGGGAGTCAAAGTCGGCAAAATCGTCAGTGCTTAAATCGCCGGGTCACCATCTGGAGAAGACCCGGGCCAGAAGTACCGGCAAATCTTTAATGAATGAATGAATGAAGTGCTTAAATATCGCTGACACATCAAAATTCGCGAGAGCATATTTTCGGCAATTTCCCATCAAATTTCATACTTTTTGTTTTATTACCTTCAGAAAAAGATTCTCTATCATTTCATAAGAAAAAATAACAAAATTATTTTTTGAAACTTCTTGGACACTGGTGCACACTTTGAAATTTGGCCTCTGGACCCTGAAAGGGTTAATGAAGAGCTAGTAAAAATATTAACCTGGATGACTGCCATTAAACTTACACTTAATATTGACAAAACATTCTACATTATGTTTGGAAGGA